CGGGGAGCGAGTCTATTCATTGTCTTACAGTGTTCTGTTGAAACAGAACGGAACCGAGGCCTTAGAAGTTCAGTCCCCTGTTCCATCTTCACCAATTGATCTACCAATCTGTCTCCTTTCTGAAAGAATATCCTAAACTGTGAGAAATAAATTAATTATTGTGTTGGGTCCCTGCTTTATTTTATTGATGTTTTATTGAAAGGATCCAATCTTGTGGCAGTCCTGTCAGTTTCTGGCAGCCATCTCCTGTTCAAAGGGCCAGGTGATCTTATCTTACATAAAATATATAATTTTATAAAAAATGAATCTGGCTTTGCTTCTGTTCTTGTTACCAACTAGCTGATACGTCTTTCCTCTGAAAGGCGGCTGACTGCAGCAGAGCTTGAGTCACTGCTGCCGTTCTGGAGATCTGTAACACAGGATGCACGGTAGCTGCTGGCTTTTCCTGAGACCTGTGCCCTCCATTCACCTGCTAAGTATCAATTTTGGGAAAGAGGAGTCACTCCGCTAAAAAATATGTATCTGGAACACTTAACTCTTACCATGCTAAAGACATCTTGCTCGCCAGTCATCCACAGTGGGTCTCCGTTCACAAGTCGAGCAGAGACATATCTTCTGTATTAAGCTTGCTCAACTCTTTTTGCTTTCCTTCTTGTTACAGCTCCTAAGCACAAGCATGGTACCTTTGACAACTGTTGTCACCTTCACTGACATGACGGAATGGCCAGAACCTCCACGAGGCCAGCCCCAAGTGCACTGGAAACTCCCATTTGACATCTTTTACCCACTCAAGGTGGCACTGAATATGGAAAGAAGTTACAGAAGTGATCTGTCTGGCTATTCTTTGTTGATTCTGATAGTGTCTGGTATTCTCTGCTTTTGAAAAGTCACATAGATGGGGCCTGTACTTAAAGCTTGGTAAGTGAATTGATACATTCAGAACATGATCCAGATCACAGACTGTTCTCCTCAAGTTCTTACACTGTGCCTGTGATAACTATGTGCCTTCTGTTCTCGAGCCACATGGCTGGCTTCTGGCTTCTGTCCTGTGTCCTCTCATGCCCCTGTTCTCCACGTGCACCATCTGTGAATCTCACCACAGTGAAACGCTGGAGAGATGGAGGGATCAGGAGACGTTGCATTAATGAGGAATGAGGAGGAGGATGTCAAAATGAACATTCCATTTTTCCCAGACACCAAGAGTGCTTTCTAAACCAAGGTGTATGGAGAGGAGCAAAGTTCAGTCCAAGCATTTTGGAGCTGCATTCAGTCATCTTCCTGCTGCAGAAGCACCTGATTTTCTACATAGAACTAATTGAACATTTGAAGTACAGGAGTTCTCCTAGGCAGCCTTGATTATTTTATGAGGAGGCATGTCTGCCAGTCACCTTTAACTGGTCCTTGTTACATGACAACCATGCCTCTGTGGTGGTTCTTGACTCTTATTTTTGTGCGTTTTCAAGTAGATATTCAACTTAAATTTTTGTGTTTTGATCACTGTTTACATTAGCAATAGTGTTACACAAAGAAAAGTAATTGTAAATGTCCCATCCTCTGAAACATAATTGAATTTTAGTTGTTTGTCAAGACAGCTTCCTTGCTGATATTTTTCTTCTTGAAGAAACAGTCCTGAATATGTTTTGTCCTAGATAAGAAACATTCTCTTGTGGCTTCAGATAGGAGCTGGACTGATAGTGATAGCCACTGAAATTCTAGGTGGCCCATCAGAGTGAGCTGTGAACAGTCCCAAAGAAAAAAAACAAATTATTTTCGGAGGAATTCGTAGATATGTTATGAAACTGAAGCTTACTTCAATACCTGACCTCTGGCTCAGTCTCTGGGACCAGAATGTAAGTTTATTGTTTTTGAAGTTGAAGGTGATCTTCTGATCATTTCGTCTGCCCCACTGCATCACACAGGCTAAGGAAATCTGCTCAATCATTCCACGAAGTTGTGGGATGACAGGATATTTTTTTTAGCAAAGGATTTATTATCGTAAATTCTTCAGATGATGGGAGAATCTATTCCATCTAAGGTCACGTACTGCAGTGGAATCAATAATGGGCAAGAAAATCAGAGAAATCCGGCCTACCTTTAACAAAATGTATTCGTTGCTTTGGTACAGGTACTGTGTATAGCAACTTTGTTGTTCTTCCTCATTACAAACTTAAACAGAAGAGTGCAAAAATAAACTGAAAAACTTGTCATTAGTCAGGATATCAAAGGAGATAACCTGAGTAAAACAAAACTGCAACCCACCTGAAACATGCAGGTTGTGGAGTAACCTCACACATTTAACTTTCTGATCGTTTGCATGGTTTATTAGCTTGGAAAGAATTCTGTGCAAGCGTCTGCTGCTTACCTTCCTTCTGCATTCTGGAGCAGCCCGTGAAAGCCAGTCTGAACACAGGTGCATCCTAGTGTTACAGGGAGCTGGTAGCACCAGTACAGCAACAGGCTTTGATTTTACATAGATGTGGCTTCTCAGCTGTGCCTGTATGATCTTTGCAAAGGTTTTAGCAAAACACATTTGTAGTGTATGTCACATGTCCTCTCATGCTTTTAATTTGTGGAATCCAGGAAATTAATTTAGAGGTGACAGTAACTGAACTGAACACACTTAGCTGGAGAAGCTTGGCAGATGTCACAGTGAGTGTGTCAGGATACGGCTTGAATTAAAAGGATCTGGCATCTCTGTTTTCAGCATTATTGAGATAATTGTTAGGTGACTACAAAGATTTTTATTCTATGAGCTGCAAATACATGGAAGTGCTGGAAGAATGCATCACCTTACTGTTGTAGTTCTCTGTCATATCCCTACCCTCCAACATGTCATGTTTTCCAGCACGCATTTGGCTCCTCTGACGTTTCCTCATTGCAGGAAATGGAGCTGGAAATAGCCTTGTCCATAACCTGGTAGCCTGACTTAAGGCATGTTCAATTCTAGCCATGCCGTACCACATGGGTGGCGGTTTAGAGCCTGCAGCTTCCTATGGCAGTTTATTTCACTGTCTACTTTTTCATGCTATGTTTTTCCCCACTGTCGGAACTTAAATGGCCTCTGTTGCAATTGAGTATCAGGCAACAGTATGACAGTGTCACACACAGGGCAGACTCGTATGTCAGATACACAGAATAGGGTATTTATATTCCATGTCAAAGGGCTGAGACTATGCTGCGTAATTTCTCTGCTGACAGCATTCTATCTGGAACCGTCTTTCCAATGTGTCGTGTTTTGAGGCTGTAACTCTATTTTTACGCAGTCTGAGTGAAAGATGCAATTTTTGGATTACAAAGTAGGAGCAGAGTTACAAAAACTTAATAAAGTGCATTGTTAGTGGTGCTGTGAATTAGGCTGCCCACCCAGCTCTTACTTAAGATCTCTGTGGAGTTGTCAGATTGTTGTCACGCAGGAAGTGAAGAGCAGTGAGTGTTTTTGTTCTTGCTGTCCTGAAGAGCACCACTTTGGAGGACCATTGCTTGCTTTTATCATAGATTCGTCCTCCCCACCCATCCAGCAGACATAGTGAGAACGTGAATTTCTGAAATATTGTGAGATCGTTCTCCCCCTCTACAATGTAAGAATATACATAAAATGCAAAGAAAATGCTAAAGAAGACATCTTAAAAATTTCTGTAAGCTCTATAGCGTGCTTCCGT